CGGGTAGCGTAACTGGCAACGCATCTGCACGGTAAGCAGGAGTTGTGGGTTCGAGTCCCGCTCCGGGCCGATTTTTTCTCCCAGCGGTTCCAAATTATTTAAATTAATTAAAATTATTTATAATTATTAATATTAATAAGAGATGGCGCCTAACGCTTACCTCTAGTACCAAATTGATTACGTAATTTATCTAATAAGTAGCATAAAACTAGCCCGATAGATTTTCGGCAGTCTGTTGGTTGTAGCTATAATTATATATCGGGTTGGAGATGTTTGTATATATATTACGCCTTGCCGGGGCTTGCGATGGCCGGTTGAGAGCCGTATGGGAAGTAGGACGTGGGCACTGAATGTGTCCCCAGCCGGCGTTGTAATAACCGTCGATGGTTAAGTAGTTAGATTATATACGCTGGAAGAGGAGATCGGATCGGAGGTCCGGGTAGCGTAACTGGCAACGCATCTGCACGGTAAGCAGGAGTTGTGGGTTCGAGTCCCGCTCCGGGCCGATTTTTTCTCCCAGCGGTTCCAAATTATTTAAATTAATTAAAATTATTTATAATTATTAATATTAATAAGAGATGGCGCCTAACGCTTACCTCTAGTACCAAATTGATTACGTAATTTATCTAATAAGTAGCATAAAACTAGCCCGATAGATTTTCGGCAGTCTGTTGGTTGTAGCTATTTCTTTGTAATTTAACGAATTTCATTTGCTCTTCAGTGTTTTTCTTGTAAACATATAGAGAGACGAAATTTTTTGTATTTTAATGGTAATAGTATTTAGGTTAATTAAGTGTCATAATGACACAATACAAATTGTTTTTAGTGTTTAATCCAGGTGTCCATAAAATACTACCTCTTAAAAGTAGCATATTAATATTGTCAAATGTTAGTGTTCCATTAATGAATAAGTTTTGTGAATTTTATATATTTTGTACAATAGGTGCCGGGGAAAATAAATATATGCAGTCTACCCCCTATAACACTTTTGATTAATCTGTTTTATATGAATTCCATTTTGTACGAGTCACTTAGATTTTACAAATACGTGTGCAGGGCTATGAATGGCTCACGAATTTGTAAAATCTAAGTGACTATTACTGCTGTTAAATTTTTATAATTTTCACTTTTAAATCAAATTCAAAGCAATTGGCTCTTGTGATCCTCCTGTAAGATATGAATGTATAGGGACTGAAATAACACATGAAACTTCAATAAAATTAACTTAAATGTAATAAAATTGTTTATATTTTATCTTATAATTTAATTATTCCTCTGTTTTCCGCTTTTAATTTTTTTTTACAGATGCAACTCAATACGCACATTATGTATTTAACACGTTTAAACAACTTGGACAAAATGGGACACTAAATTTCGAGGTAACTTATTCTTAAAATACATTAAAATTCGTATAAATGTTTAGTATTCTAAATAAAAATATATTTTGATTATTGGTTTTTCCATAGCAGTTCCTAGGAATGTTATCTTCGTTATCACGTGGATCAGTTACAGAGAAACTAAAATGGATTTTTGGTCTTTACGATATTAATGGAGATGGTTATATAACGAAACAAGAAATGACGGATATTGTTAGTGCCATATATGATATGTTAGGACATTACACAGATCCTGCAGTCGATGAACATTCGGCGAGAGAGCATGTAGAAAGACTTTTTCATGTAAGAATTGCATCATTTTCTATATTTCTTTCAATATAAGTTGATAGTTGTCAAACCAGATTAAACTACTTTTAAACCATTCGTAGTGGAGAAAGGGGTACCAAATGATTCAGAGATGCAACAAACAATCAACTGTTAACAACTAATAAAATAGTCTTTCTCTGTCTTAAAATTGGTTTAGTCTGGTTTGATAACTGCCAACCTATCATGAAGGACTGTACAGTACATCATAGGTGATGAAGCATTACGAAATCTAGAATTTTGGTTAAATATATAAAACAAACTTTAAATTGATTTATTGAAAACAGAAGAATTGTGATAGCTTTTATAGAATCAAAGCATTTTCTATTATTTTCTTACATTTAGCAAATAGATGCAAACAAAGATGGAGTTGTATCATTTGACGAATTTGCAGAATGGTGTCAAAAGGTATGCAAATTTATTTACTAAATATTAAAATTTATAAATATAGTAGTCTCTCGTTTTAACAGACAAAATATATTTGTCCTAAAGAAAAATTTTTAACTATTTTTTAGTCAGGATTGAAAAAAAAATCTGAACCAACGAATTAATGAACATAAATTAAATTACCCAATGTACGTACATTGTACGTTATAATATTACAATATTTTATTTATAGTTATATGTTATAACAATATTTTAATACATATATTCGTTATTAATATGAAACACATTCGATTTAACGGGTTTTCAAAATAGCGAACACCTCTTTTACCATTTAGAATGTTAAATTGAGGGCCTACTGTATATAAAAATATCAATCTTTTCGTAATAACTGATTATAATTTTTATTTATTTACATAAATTTATAATTATAAATATTGTATTTTCAGGATGAAAATAGAACGAATGGTTTATTTATGTTGGACACCATTTTGTGACAATTACCTTCCTGTTCTGCCTCTTCTGATACATCAGAAAATGCAGAAAATCCATCAGAAAAAAATATAATATAAAAGTATTCGTATATATCAATAATTTAAGTTAAATATTTACATTTTTTTGTATATTTTGTGGGTTATTCCCTCAATATTATAGCTTCCATCAACATAATTTACCTCTTCAAACATGGGAGCTTTCATAGATTTATTTTTACGCATTCAGTTTGATAATAATTGAATGACACTAGTGGTGCATGATCAATAACAAAACCAATATATTCTTGTAAATTTAAATATTTTAATTAGTAAAATTTGTAATTTTTGTAAATATTTTGATTTCTAGCTTTGTTTGAGATCCCCGATAATGTAAAGAACTTTTGGACAAATGTCCATGATCATGCACTAATTAGGGTAAAATACTAGCTCATTATCCATGCAAATCATGGTGCCTGCAAAAATTTAGGATGTAGAAAGGATTCAAATTTATATATTTACTATAAATTCATCAAGAAATTATAGTTTTTCAATATATTATATCAATAGAAGGGTTTACGTTAAGGTGTGTAATGTTCGAAATTAATTTCATTTTAGTGAAAATAGTTTTTTCTTGTATAGAATTTTAACAGGGAATTTTATAATAATAATTAGTCATTTTTGAAAATCTTTGGTAATTTTAATTAATATAGAAATTGGAGAAAAAAATTCCGAATTAAATAATTGTACTATGGATATTATTACATGGTTAACATATTTTTATTTTACACCCCCTATAGCACTGTTGATTATTCCGTTTTATATGAATTCCATGTTGTTCGAGTCACTTAGATTTTACAAATACGTGTGCCGGGCTGTGAATGGCTCACGAATTTGTAAAATCTAAGTGACTCGTACAACATGGAATTCATATAAAACGGAATAATCAAAGTGTTATAGGGGGTCAACAGTATAAAAATAATGTATACATAAAATATTTTCTTCAATCTTATTCAAGATAAAATTCAAAATTTTCAATCTTATATGCAATATTGAAAATATGTAAATTAAATTACCGTATGTTCGTGCGTATATTTGCATAAAATTGCTTGAACTAAGTTAAAACCTTCGTATAACCCGCACCCCTTTCAACTTATTTTTAAAACGCAATTCATAAGTAACATGCACGAAAATACGGTACTTAAATTTTGTATTTTTTTTTAATTGTAATTTTGTTTTAAATTTATTTTATCTAAAATATTTTTAAAATAATTTATGTTTCTATTAAGTTCAGCACAATGCACTTTTTTACACTCACGAGGTATGAAATCTTTCCAATTTCATAATATTCTGATTAACTATTGGTGCATATTTATTTATTATATTACTGTGTACAGTCTAAACAAATATGTACTAAGTAAATATGTAAGTTTTAATAGTTTTATTTGAAAACAAACTGAAGATTTACTCTATACTCCGTCCACCTAAGAAGAATTAAATGTATGAAAGAAAAATGATGAAATTTTTGCCTGAAAATATTTTTCCTATTTCCAAATATAGTATTTTTTATTATTAAACAAAGTACTATTAAAGAAAATGTATTCATATAATTGGTATTTTTCTATGCTGTATCTTTGAAATCTTAATGTGGAAAAAACTATTGAAAACTGAATTAAATAACTAAATATAATCGCTTCGCTTAATACGCTATACTGTTATATGTATAATAGGGGGTGGCCTAGAAGTTAGTTAATCGAGAAATATTTCTAAGATTACTTTATATACAAGCTAATTGTTATTTTAAAATATATCGCAGTTAACTGAATTTTGGGCCACCCTTTTTTATGTGGTAAGTTTTCTCCATCCAAAAATCCTCAAATAAATTTATAGTAATTAATTGGTTAACAAATATTTTAAGTAATGCATGTTTGCTTTGTTTTACAAATTACAGGGTATTCGTAACAGAATGGTTTGATTTCACATGTGTAACTCCCTCAGTTTTTTATGACGAAGTGTAATACACGGATAGATTCATCATACGGCTGTTCAAATTTCATCTAATGTAGGATGGTCATTGCTATTTCTCTTTATGACAGCTTGACCGTACTGCAATGGACGTGCTGCTGATAAGGACAACCATTTCGTCCATTTGTCAGAACTAAATTCCTTGCGACTTCTATCTATGGGGGCAGGCGAAAGACACAGTTTTCGTATTCAAATACTCCGGTTTCTACGCAATTTTCGGTAGAAGTGATCACATCAAACACACTCGATCGGGTATGGCAGCAGTTCAACTGCCACCTGTATGTGAGCAGGGGTGACCAAAGGTGAGTGAGTGTGGTGCACATCACACTTGGACAGTTGCCCTTTCGATCGAGACATATCGTGATTGTATAAGTTAGAAATACAGGAAATACACATCTATGAAATCTCACCATTCGTTAATGAATATGCTATATATTCCTTGAATATTTCAATGCTGATTTTTCAAACCCAATCTTGTTTACTGAAAGTATTCCATAAATAATTATACGTAAATGTAAACCAAAGAGTATACAGTAGATACATATTCTCAAAATAATATTTTTCAAATTAATAGAAATACATTAGTAATTCTTCTTAGGTGAAACTGAGTGTGGTTACGTAAAAAATTGAAGTATAGTTTATTACTTTACTATGATGTAGGAGTGAATTTATGATTTATTTATTTACTATTTTGAAGCGTGTAAATAATAATTAATAACTTAAATACATTTTCTATTGAACATATCGAAATTAATTATGGCAACCTCAAAACTAAACATGATTAAAAAAAAATTAAAAACTGTAGATTCAGATAATGTATGTATATTTAAAATTTTATAATCTTGCCTTTTTCTACTCAAATTTACAAGTAGTTTATCAATGGTAACAAATATGAATTTTATGAAAATGCCAATTTGCAATTGGTTATTTTAAATTAGCGCTTACAATAATGCGATAATCAGTTCCATGTGTATTATATGTTTAATGTAGAACACAATTTTGTATTTAACTTTAAATTATTTACAAACCACGAATAGTAATAAAATTCTAAGATCATTAAATGATTTTCCCATAAAACAGGACTTAATTATTATTGAATATAATTTTAAAAGGTGTGGAAAAATCTAAAAATTATTGATTCACATCTGCCATTTATGAAATAATTTTCTAATAGATGAAATTTTTTAATGTTTAAAACGAATAGGAACGTTTGAATTATGTATTTAATTTTAATAAATATTATTTATGACTAAACATCGAGGCTTATAAGATTGATATATCCCTATTTTATTATTTATATCGTTAAAAATGCTAGTTTTTAGTAATATTATGTTGAATTTATGTAATGTATAGGGTGATCTTGATTACAGAGTATATGTTTAGAGCTCTCTGTAGAAAAAATAATTGGGTAAATCTCTATCAAATTTTGCAAACATACTGTCCTGGGTATGCGGTTTCGATTTTCGGAAAAACTTTACTTCAAAATTTGACCGCTAGGGCGAAACTCGGAGCTGTTGTCCTGTAAAATCTTTACAGAATGGGAATAATATTTTAACAATTGTCAAATAAGTTACCTGTCAAATAATTGTAAAACAAAACATTTCACAATTATTTGACAGGTAAACTGTCATGGTGTTCACTTCTGATCATGTGTTACTGTTTTACTTTTCTAATCATTAGTTCTTCATTTTATATCTGTAATCATATATCTGTGTTTAAAATAAATATATTGCACTTTCGAAAATTTTTAAAAATTAACATTAAAGAGGTGGCGAGCGCAACATTTTACCCTATCGGCTGAATTTTAAAATAAAATTTCTTCGAAAACAGGATACTGCATATCGAGGACAGTATATACCTTGTATACCAAATTCGATTGAAATTCGCCAAAAACTTCTTTCTATAGAGAGCTCTGAATACCAACTTTCTAATTATAATTACTCTGTAGTACATTGTACATTTAATTATTTAAGGAAGCTGTTATTAAAAAAATTGAAAGATAAAAAGGGATAAATTAACTAAATTACTTTCCGTAAACATTTTCGGTTCTCTTCTTTATATGTAAGAAGAAATGATTAAAATAGTTCAACAAATGAGCGTTGCGAAATTAACATTCTTAACGGTGATTGGTTGATAAAATATAAAAGAGCAAAAATAGACATTTTAAATGAAAAATAAAAAGAGAAAAAAAAATGTTTATTTTTCTCTTTTATATTTCTATTTTCCCCTCTCTCTTTCAATTTTTTTTAAAAATATTCCAATTACTAAGCATTGAAATAGAAAAAAATTTAATACATTTTTAATATTGTTATTAATTATCAGTTTTAAAATCTAATTTATTTGAAGAATATTTTCTGTTTTTAGAAAAACATTTACATTTAATTTTTATTTTACAATTTTAATTTCTGTAATGATTTTATTTTCATCTCTTGAAGACAGGATTCACCTTGTGTATTTTTCCCTTATATTTAATTTATCTAAAGCAAATTTTGATGTTAATGTTAATGTAATAAAATTTTTAAAAAATCATCGCAAATCTATTAAGAGAAAAATTCACAATTTGAATAAAAAGTTTATTCCTAGTTTGTTAAACACGCGAAACGGGATGGGGAAATGAGTGCAATTGCAAACTCCTATCCTTAATCACTGTGATAAACACGACGACGGAGAAAAAACTTCCAGAAAATAAACAAATAAATAAATAAAAGAAGATGCGAAAAGGCAATCATTGATAAAAGGCGTCTGGACAGACGTCGTACCAATGCACTTATGGCACACCTCATTCGATAAAAAAAAGAAAAAAAAGTCTGTTCTCTGATGACTCAATTGCACTTTCGATGTTTGCATCCCTTCATCGTCTATTATTGTTTCTAATTATAAACTATAAAACTATAATAAAATTTGGAAACAGTAAATAAAACTCGAGACAGAATGCCGGAAGGTCCAAAAGTCACTTAACTGTATTTTTTTCTTAAATATTTCAGATGAAACTGTAAATAACCGTGGTGTTCATTATATTACTCATTTGTTCTTTTGGGAAAAATCATGAACCAAAGCATGATTTGATTTATTGTCTTCCTAGAGCAAATAAAGAAAGAGTATTCCAAATACACTGGAGTGTGAAACATAAACTGAATTTGTTAAAGCATTGTAATTTCCGAATTGAACGGAAAAGAAAAGGTTTTGTAAACTTATTAAATTATAAAATATACGAATAAACAGAAGGTTTTTATGATGTTTAACTCAAGAAAAGCTTTTTCCATTAACTGAATAACTGGAAAAAAATCTTTTTCAATGGCTAACTGGAGTAGAAGTCCACCATGGAGAAAAATTCTGTACAATTGTTAACTGAAGAAAAAGTCTATAACATAGACAAATAGTCTTTGCAATGGTTAACTGAGGAAAATATGTTTGTTGAATACTTCAAGAAACACTCCTAACAATGGTCAAATGAGATTTGGGTCACGTTGCATATAAATTAATATGAAATTGGAAATATGTTATAAATATTTTTCTCAAATAATTGATAATATTCGAAACAAACTTAAATTCAAAAAATAAAACTTTAATATATTCTTATAAAAAAAATATTAAGTTAATGGTATTTTGGGGTGCAAAGTTAAT